TATGCGTCCATCTGTATAGGAACATTCAGTGCTTTTGCTATCTTTGTGTATCCTTTTCCTTGTTTGTGCAAGGTAATGATCTCTTCTCTGAACTTTTTGGACAATTATTTTGACTTTCTAACATGCAATCAAACGTAACTCTCAACAAACCCCTAGCCAGTCCAGGTATGTATGTGTTTTATCTCAAGCACACCTGAAGTAATGGAGCCCTTGATTAGTTGCACCAGGTGTGCTTGAATCATCTGGAGACTGCAGTAGTCATTAAAAGTAGAATTGTATGTTGAGTTTGTATAACCCTTGTAATATTAGATTAATTGAACTACTTAAACAGTTCTTGAGTAATTGTTCATTATTATTAGATAATATATCATTATTATTGCAACTTTAAGTAACAGGTGTGTGTGTGTACGTCAGAATTCTGGAATGTGCTTCTGGAACCACCTGCAGTACCAGGAGCCAGCCCCGGGCAGGGAAGAACTTTACATATATCCGTTTCTCTTTATTACATTACATGTCGGTTTTGCCTCCGGGAGCTGGTTGGGTTTCAGCATCTTGATTAAAGGCACTTTGACATGTTGACTAACACTGACCCTCTGATTGGTAGACAACCCTGAGCCACAGCCACCGCCATACTCAGCAACTCACCAGAAAGAACATGTCTCTGAATGATGCAGTGTGAGAGGGGCAGAGGGTCGTTACTATTTAAAAAAAAAATATTACATATTACTTTAAAAAAAAGTAATATATTACACTACTTCGTTACTCTCTACATAAAGTAACTCGTTACTTTACTCGCTGAGCACGTACGAACTGCGCATGCGTGAGTGGCAATAACTTTCCTTACCAGCAGGCGGCGGTAGTGTGTATCAATCAATCAATCAATCAATCAATGTTTATTTATATAGCCCAATATCACAAATGTTACATTTGTCTCAGTGGACTTCACAGTTTGTACAACATATCAGTATGACAATACGACACCCTCTGTCCTTAGACCCTCACATCGTACAAGGAAAAACTTCCGGAGAAAACCCACAGTTTAAAGGGAAAAATGGGAGAAACCTCAGGGAGAGCAACAGAGGAGGGATCCCTCTCCCAGGACGGACAGACGTGCAATAGATGCCGTGTGTAAATTGAAAAGATAATACATTTGCAACATATGTAGTCCAAATGTTTGGAAATGCATGTGTGTATAATAGGAAGATGAATCCACGAGGATATCCATCCAGGACCTATGATCCAGGACCACAGCCACGATTCAAGATCCAGGGCTCGCGATCCAGGACACAGGACCGCAGGATCATCCATGACTCCGGATCCCAGCGTATATAGACACCAAAAAGAAAGAAATTTGGGGAAGCTGGGTTAATCGGAACATGAGAGTACACAGGTATAGACAGAGAGAAGGAAGAAGTAAGGTGTCCCCCGACAAACTAAGCCTATATCAGCAAAACTAGGGGCTGAATCTAATCAGCCCTAACTATAAGCTTTATCAAAAAGGAAGGTCTTAAGCGCACTCTTAAAAACGGATAGGGTGTCTGCCGCCCGAACACAAACTGGAAGCTGATTCCACAAATGTGGAGCTTGATAAGAAAAGGCTCTGGCTCCCATTGTACTTTTAGAGACTCTAGGAACAACCAACAACCCTGCATTCTTGGAACGCAATGCCCTAGTAGGACAGTAGGGTTAGTTAGCATGATACCATGTCCGGGCGGCACACGGCATATGGGACGGAAAACTTTTTCCAACTACCTGGAGAAAGAATATACAAAAATGGAAAGCCAGCTAATATCGATGCAATCCAGATTGCATACAATGCATGTCAAGTTGATCAACAGATTGTATTATTCTCCAATGCAATAACAGTACTGAAATGAAGGCTATAAGGGCATTAATGGGAGCCCTTTTTTTAAGTAACCCAAACGTTACTTTTCACAGTAACGCATTATGTTTTGGTGTAAGTAATCAGTAAAGTAACTGAGTTACTTTTGAAATGAAGTAACTAGTTACTGGTTTTCAGTAACTAGCACAACACTGTTCCTGACCCCTTATTTTGGATCAGTTTCATCAACAGGCCACCATTCACAACTATTATACAGCCCTGCTATATACTATGACCATTCTTTACTTATTTATAATATGGTTCAAATGGAGTAATTTGAGTTGTCTGATGCACTTGATACAATTTGACTTTTTTTAAAATACTGATGTGTTTATTCAAAACCATTTCAACACACAATGTCATGACTTTTTCAAGATCTTTTTGACAAACTATGACTTTCTTTCATATTTTTAGAAATCCTATACTGACATTGCAGACAAACTATATAATATAATTCTTAACTACTGTAGAGTTATATTTGTATTTATTCATGTTAGCAAACTATGGATAAGCTTAAAATGAGAATAATTTGGGTAAAACTGTGAGCTGCATTTGGGGCCTGTTGACATGTGTTTTTGAGGACAAAGGAAGATGGGGGAAGGTGAGAGCATGTCCTGATTTGCATTCAACTTAGAACGAGCTACAGTGGTTGTGCTATTAAGAGAGGTCTCTTGGGTTTCTCTGGTGCTTATCAACAGTAGCAGTTAAGTGAATACTGTTCAAACAATACCTGTGTTTGTGTTTTATATTGATTTCTCTGTTTTATCCTTTCATAAATGTAAGGACTACAAATGGCTATAAACATTCTGGGCTGGTTGGAGTAAACAGGGTTTTATTGCTCTGTGGGGGAGGTGTAGGTATGCAGGCCTTGAGACCTTTTGTTGGAAAGTGAGCCTGTTTGGTTTCCTGCTGCGTTTCCTGCTGCGTTGCGTCTCCCAATGAGATGACCTGAAAAGATGACCAGCTGACCTAACACCAAACCCCTCCTTCTTACTCTGGTATATATCCGGTGGATCCCTGGCGTTCGGCCTCTTCTTCACATGCTGCCCTCGGGTGAAAGTAGCTCTGCAGTATGCGAACTAGGGCAGGAGTAAGCCGGCATTACTCCTTAAGCATTACAATATAACTGTAATATATCATGTTGTATTGTAATGATTGTATTGCATTGTCATATTGCCATTAAAGTAGATTATTGTTAACGGTTACTTTGTAGATATGGATTCCTTCCTGTATTATAACCAGCTTCATAGGAACGCGCGGAGATTTGAAAAGCGGACCAGTTATCCCTCCAAATCTCTAACACTACATACTGTACTTGGACTTTTTTCAAGATACTTTTGACATACTATACTAGTACTTTTAAAATAAATGTTCGGACATTCTACACTGACTCTTTTTTAAATGATATACAGTTGCAAGAAAAAGTATGTGAACCCTTTGGAATTACCTGGATTTCTGCATAAGTTGGTCATAAAATGTGTTCTGGTCTTCATCTAAGTCACAACAATAGACAAACACAGTCTGCTTAAACTAATACCACACAAACAATTATATGTTTTCATGTTTTTATTGAACACACCATGTAAACATTCACAGTGCAGGATGGAAAAAGTATGTGAACCCCTAGGCTAAAGACTTCTTCAAGAGCTAATTGGAGTCAGGAGTCAGCCAACCTGGAGTCCAATCAATGAGACGAGATTGGAGGTGTTGGTTAAAGCTGCCCTGCCCTATAAAAAATACACACCAGTTTTGAATTAGCTATTCTTAAGAAGCATTGCCAGATGTGAACCATGCCTCCCACAAAAGAGCTCTCAGAAGACCTACGATTAAGAATTGTTGACTTGCATAAAGCTGGAAAGGGTTAGAAAAGTATCTCTAAAAGCCTTGATGTTCATCAGTCCACGGTAAAACAAATTGTCTATAAATGGAGAAAGTTCAGCACTGTTGCTACTCTCCCTAGGAGTGGCCGTCCTGTAAAGATGACTGCAAGAGCACAGCGCAGAATGCTCAATGAGGTGAAGAAGAATCCTAGAGTGTCAGCTAGAGACTTAAAGAAATCTCTGGCACATGCTAACATCTCTGTTGACGAATCTACGATACGTAAAACACTGAACAAGAATGGAGTTCATGGGAGGACACCACGGAGGAAGCCACTGCTGTCCAGAAAAAACATTGCTGCACGTTTGAAGTTTGCAAAAGAGCACCTGGATGTTCCACAGCACTACTGGCAACATATTCTGTGGACAGATGAAACCAAAGTTGAGTTGTTTGGAAGGAACACACAACGCTATGTGTGGAGAATCCAAAGGGTTCACATACTTTTTCTTGGAACTGTATATGAAATACTATACTATGATTAGTTCAACATACTGGTGTATACAATCACTTTTTTTCATATTTTGACTTCCTTCATGATATTTTCATAATATTCTATTCTTTTAACTCTTTTTTTCTCTATATTTTCAACACACTATACTATGACCGTTTGGACACTATGTTATTTACTATTTACCTTTTTTATTTTCGATATATTATTTTGCTATGTCTTTTATCAAGATATTTTCGACATACTGTTAAACAAAAATGTTTTCATTATTTTTTACATACATGAAGTTTACCTTAACCAAGCCAACCAACATTATCTTGTGGCAAAGCCAGGGTGACAGCTAGTGATGTGACGAGCCGAGGCTTCGGAGCACGGTTTGAGTTATCCAGGAAGTTTTTGGTGAAGCGCGTATTGAGGCTTGTATCGTTTTAGGCCAGTGACTGCTTCAGATAGTGGATCCGAGGTGTTAAACCACTGACACTTCACAGTTTTATAACACTCATATGTCACTTTTTATGCATACTAATGTGACGAAAGCGGTATGAATATCACTACTGTTCATTTGCAAATTCTACATGTATATTTTCTACTTTCTTGTCTTTTAATTTGTATTGTACAATGCCATGTCTTTTAATGCTCCTGCAACACAAACATTTCCCAAATTGGGATTAATAAAGTACTATCTTATCTTATCTCTTAGTAAAAAAAGGTTGACACATGTAATTTTGTCATCAGTAATAATGCCATTAAAAGCGGTGGCTGTGTAGATTCCTATTTGGGGTTGGTTACTGACAGGCGTCATTAAAGCAGGAAGAACCGGTTCTGTTTTGTACAACAGCGTTAAACTGCGCTTCTTTTTAATAAAGTTTTCCTCAATAGTGTACCGAATATTCACCAGGCTGTGGGTCAGTACTACAGAGAGGTGAGTGTGGCTTTAGATTTGCTATCGCTGAACAAATGCTGTTGGACTTGTTTGATCGTCTCTGTCAGCAGAACGCAGTTCAGTCAGGAAGCACTGAGCATGTCTGGCTTTTGAATATTTGTATCCACTGTTTGGATTGAGTAGATGTTTTGTGTTGTGCTTGCTGGTTACATCGAAATTAAATGTGTTTTATGCAAATTAACTTGGTGGTTATCCAAACAGAGCTAAACACACATCTGAGGGATGTGTGTTTGTTGTTCAGTCAGCTTTTTTACATCAAAAACATGACTTGGTATAAAAGTGAACTACACATTTTAGAGGTCACATCCATTTCATTTGTATAGCCCAATATCACCAGCTCCAGCCCCTGTGCTTTGAATCTGGCTTTGTCTCCGATTATGTTTTCTATGTTTCCTGCTTTATGTTGTAAAAACACTCTATGGCCCAATGCCAAACCAATACCTACACACCCCGTGACGGAGAGTCACACTGATCACCTAGCTCTAACACATCTTTATTTTTTTGATGCTTTTATCCAAAGCTACTTAAAGGTGCAATAAGCCATGAAGATAAAAACATGCAGATAAATTGCTTCAAATACGCCGAGTCATTGTCAGTGCTGCTGCATTACTCTGAATGAGCCGAGCCCGTTCACTATGACAGCAGGTGTGTTTAGGTTAGGGTTGATGGACAAGGCAAGGCACGTTTATGTATACAGCACATTTCAACGAGTCCAAGATAATACAAATAAAATAAGTTAACATACCATTAGACCTGTATAAAATACAAGAATAGGACTTACAGTGCAGTTTAAGATATGATATGCAAAAAGAAAAGTATTTAGCCTGGATTTATAAGAGAAGAGAGTTGCAGCAGTATAAAGGGAGTTTGTTCAAGATATATAGAGCATAATAACTGAACGTTGAACTGAACTCCATGTTTAGTTTTGTCTCACTCTGGGGATAGAAAGCAGAGACTTCCCAGAAGACCTGAGGGTTCTGGATGGTTAGAACAGAGAGTATATTGATCGCACATTAAAAACAAAATCATGACACTTTGTTTATATTATTATATACATTTTTCATGCTGTCCTTGTTCTTCAGCTTTTATTTGATCATCTTTTTCCCAATGGTGCAATTGCATCTCCTAATGACACTGTGTGCTGCATCTTCTCATTCCTGCAATGCCGGTTTTACACTTCTCAACAAACTATAGCCCATTCCCAAGTCCAAGTTTGCACCTCCTCGACTCCTCGCTTAGACTCCTCGCGAGCGGAAATGTCTTGCAGGAGTACTGAGTAGAGAGGAGTCGAAGCAACAGGCGTTTTAAAGAAAGGAGAAATCCTGTCCTCGGAGAGGTCATTATAAACCTATCAGCTGTCCATTGTTTTGATAAACCGCTTCAATGTATCATCTCTGTCAGAAAAGCACAACAGTGTTACTTACATATTGACTTTTAATTAAATTCCCAGCAAGGCTAAATGTGATATTAAAACCTACACACAGTTATAATAAGCTATTAAAATCTCTGGACACAGAATCAGGAATAATGTGTTGCTTTATGTCACTTCCTTTTGTATCAGATACGCTCATGGATAAATAGTCATCATGAACAGTGGGGTCTTTCTCAGCCTGCTGGCAGGTGAGTCAGGTTGGATTGCATTAACTAAGGCATCACTAACTCTATGTGTACTGTACAATATGTTCTATATTTAATATATGTAGTTTACTGATGATAAGCATCCTTACCAAAATCTATCAATTCACGACAATAATCAGTGAAAGGAAATTACAATGCCCCATTATTATTTTATAGTTTATGAGGAAATGCCTGATGTGAGATATTAATCTCCTTTTCCTCTCATACAGCTCTCTGCCTACCTCTTTTCTTGGTCACAGTCTCTATCGAGGCTCCTGCAATCGACACAAATGCTTTGACCATTGCCTCACCGGAGGTCAGTAACCCCTCAACACCTCAGCCTATCATTTGGGCAGATACACCAACAACTAAAACATCCATCTCTCAAACTCCACCCACTGCATTTACTTCAACTGGGGTAACACTCTCCAGCTCCAACAGTAGACATGAAACCGCAGGATCTTCAATAATGGCAACTGTAACTGGAGACAAATCAGGAACATCAGATGTGATTGAGGAAATAGTTACAGAATTACCAGTGGAAATTCTAACCTTAATAATTGGCTTTGTCAATGAACGGACCGCTGCAACAATATCCAAAGCATTCACCACAAAACTCAGGCCAACTGCAAGTCATACCACAATGCCAACTGAGATTAATTTACCAACAGCAACACCATCACAAAGGACACAGGCTAAAACACAAAGCACATCCACAGCAACAAAATCCAATACAATACCAGCATCCAAAGCTTCAACACCATCATCAACATCAATATCATCAGCATTTGAGGATTTATCAACGGTGACTACAGCCCAACAAACTACACAATCTACAGCTACAGCGTCCACAACCTCAAATTCAGCACAAAGTACAGCACCTGAGGATTCACCAACAGTGAATACAACACTTTGTATTGCAACACAATCTGTGTCCACATCAGCAACAACCATAACCCAAAGTACAGCATCTGAGGATTCTTCAACGCAAAGACCATCACAAACTACACTCATAACTTCAAAATCCACTCACAGTACAGCATCGGAGGATTCACCAACTGTAACATCATTTACAACACAAAGTATGATCACATCTACACCAACACAATCTATTCTAATAACAACAGAATCTGCATCAACATCAACCGCAAGTACAACATCTGAGCATTCACCTACAGTGACTACAACACCATCTATTGCAACATCATCAACAACACAAAGTGTGATCGCAACTACACAGACGCAATCTATTCTGCCCACAGTTGAATTAGCAACAACATCAACCCAGAGTTCACCATCCGAAGGTTCAGAAACCCAAAGACCAACACAAATTACAGCTATAACCTCACAATCAGCACAAAGTACAGCCTCTGAGGACTCACCAACAGTGACTACAACACTTTCTATTGCAACAGCATCCACAACAGAATCTGTGTCCACATCAGCAACAACCATAACCCAAAGTACAGCATCTGAGGATTCTTCAACGCAAAGACCATCACAAACTACACTCATAACTTCAAAATCCACTCACAGTACAGCATCGGAGGATTCACCAACTGTAACATCATTTACAACACAAAGTATGATCACATCTACACCAACACAATCTATTCTAATAACAACAGAATCTGCATCAACATCAACCGCAAGTACAACATCTGAGCATTCACCTACAGTGACTACAACACCATCTATTGCAACATCATCAACAACACAAAGTGTGATCGCAACTACACAGACGCAATCTGTTCTGCCCACAGTTGAATTAGCAACAACATCAACCCAGAGTTCACCATCCGAAGGTTCAGAAACCCAAAGACCAACACAAATTACAGCTATAACCTCACAATCAGCACAAAGTACAGCCTCTGAGGACTCACCAACAGTGACTACAACACTTTCTATTGCAACAGCATCCACAACAGAATCTGTGTCCACATCAGCAACAACCATAACCCAAAGTACAGCATCTGAGGATTCTTCAACGCAAAGACCATCACAAACTACACTCATAACTTCAAAATCCACTCACAGTACAGCATCGGAGGATTCACCAACTGTAACATCGTTTACAACACAAAGTATGATCACATCTACACCAACACAATCTATTCTAATAACAACAGAATCTGCATCAACATCAACCGCAAGTACAACATCTGAGCATTCACCTACAGTGACTACAACACCATCTATTGCAACATCATCAACAACACAAAGTGTGATCGCAACTACACAGACGCAATCTATTCTGCCCACAGTTGAATTAGCAACAACATCAACCCAGAGTTCACCATCCGAAGGTTCAGAAACCCAAAGACCAACACAAATTACAGCTATAACCTCACAATCAGCACAAAGTACAGCCTCTGAGGACTCACCAACAGTGACTACAACACTTTCTATTGCAACAGCATCCACAACAGAATCTGTGTCCACATCAGCAACAACCATAACCCAAAGTACAGCATCTGAGGATTCTTCAACGCAAAGACCATCACAAACTACACTCATAACTTCAAAATCCACTCACAGTACAGCATCGGAGGATTCACCAACTGTAACATCATTTACAACACAAAGTATGATCACATCTACACCAACACAATCTATTCTAATAACAACAGAATCTGCATCAACATCAACCGCAAGTACAACATCTGAGCATTCACCTACAGTGACTACAACACCATCTATTGCAACATCATCAACAACACAAAGTGTGATCGCAACTACACAGACGCAATCTATTCTGCCCACAGTTGAATTAGCAACAACATCAACCCAGAGTTCACCATCCGAAGGTTCAGAAACCCAAAGACCAACACAAACTGCAGTCGTAGCCCCACAAACAGCCACTTCAGATGAAGCTGTATCATATATGAAAACCACATCAGAGACTCAACAAACATTAGCACCTCTAACAACACCCACACCTGCTAAACAAACTGCTGAATCTACAGCACGTGACAGCACAACAACACATAGTGAATCAGTGATAACCCCAACACAAACTACACCACCTATTGAAACAGCATACACAACAACTACACTAGTGGCATTACCAATGACAGTATCATCTTCAGCAGAACCAACTAACTTCATGGCATCTTCAACAGAAACAACCATAAGAACCACACAACCAACACCAGTCACAGAAACAAGACGCACAACACCAACAGGCACTGTAGTGTCGACAACAAACAAACAAGACAGAAGGGAATCAACCACAACACGATCCCAAACTACACTGTCTGTAAAAACAATGCCACAAACTACAGTCAGAGGAATGACACAAACTACAGTCCGAGGAATGAAACAAACTTTGCGTGTATCTCAGACGGACAGTACTGCACATGCAGCTACAACCTCGACTTCTTTATCAACAGAAGGAACACCTACCCAAAGTCCAGGTATTAATATTGTTAAAGAAACAGTGAATAGTTCTCCATCGGCCACACCATCCAAAATGTCAGTTGCTGCTTCTGCATCTATGCAATCCAACTACCCTCCATCAGCCGGGCCTGTGTCTCTAACCACACCCTCTGACTCCCAAAAACCTGTGACAACAACAACGGACGGTGCAACACACTCTACTCTTCCTAAACTTTCGTCATTTTCCTCAGACGCATCCACCATCAATCAAGCCAAAGTTGACTCTAAGACTGTTTCCTTACCTGGGGAAAATACAGTGGTCTTCAGATATTACCCGAAAATTGCTGCAGTGAGGCCGCTTGCCTTTGATCACCCAACTGTCTTTAGGACCTCAATCCCAGTTTCAGATTCCTTCAATGAGGAGCAACACCAGCCAGGTCAAAACAGCACAAATTAAAGATTAATACACACGCTCAAAAAAAAAAGGGCTAGCTAACCCTATCACATGCAGGAAGTGAGAGGTAGTGATCATTTCTTAAGAGGTGCTGGTAGACCAATTGTGTTAATTTTGGAAATAACCAGGCTAGCTCTTTCCTTTATAGAGTTGATTAGGAATAAAACCTGACAGGACTCATAATTTTAACACTTCCTATTCTCCCAAAGTGGACAGGTTTTTAAAATGTACATCCCTATTTCTCTGACATTCCGTTACTCATTTAGCTGATGATTTTATCCAAAGTGACATCCAATAAAAACAATCAAACATGCAAGCAAGGAGATACAAGCTCACAGCAGCAGGAATCATCTCTTTCTATTATCCTGTGTGGATTAAACTTATATATAACAATAACACATGAACATGTTATAAACAAATCGAACACTTGATTGAAATTGACAGATTTTTTGTTTCTGGGTTCCTTTTCCATTTCTAGTTAAGTTTAGGTTATCAACTTACTTTAATATCATTTATTGGCTTTGTCGTCCTGATATTTCTGTTATAATTTCCTCCCGATTGATTTTTGCTCATTTTTCTTTCTCTGTTCATACTGTTATGTATTATGTTTTTAATCTCTAAACAAATAAACAAATTATTCATGCATACAGATCGCTTGTCTTGCTTTTCAATAACAATATTCATTTTGAATCCTCTCTTTATTCAGTCTCTCCTTATTCCCCAACATCAATCAAAACACTGTTAATGTGTATACATCAATAAACACTTAATACACAGAACGCATGATGTAGTAGATATATATCAGCTCTACCTGTATTGGATATATGGTTATATCTTCCTGTAAGTTAAATGACTGAATGCATCAGATCTGCAGATTGTGAATGAACGCTAGAAATTAAACTCCCTCTGAATCTGTGCTGGAATATTTGTATTGGTCCTCGTGTCACAACACTTCATTCACCTTCACAGCCACACAAGACCTGAATTCTGTACGAAGGTATTTTATTCAGTTGTTTCACAAAATACAAAAGCAAAGTTATAAGGTATGGGGGCTCAATTCAGGTAGATACAAACAACTGATAAACACATATATTCACAAAGGAGAAAGCTGCATTCTAGCAAACTGCGTCACAGTAGAAATATGTAAAACTTATAAGGATTACTACGTAAGGCCATTGGCTTACTATAATGTAAGCCAAACACACATTACTTTGTTAAATATGCATCACCTATTCTGTTTTATAAAATACAACTTTTTTTAATTAAAAATAAATACATCAATAAATTAATACAATTAATTGAGTAAATTATGCAACCAATTTGCACTTATGTAAAAAATAAATAAAAGTAAATCGAGATCACTTTGGCTTTTTTTTTTACAAAACTCTCCTGTAGCCTTAACCAAATACATCACAAATATGCATATGAACATGTTAAACTAGCTTGCATATCTGTCCTTTAAAATGTAAATATGTAATGCGTTTAAACTAGGGCTGTCAAACGATAAACAATTTAATCAGATTAATCACAGTTTAAAAATGAATTAATCATGATTAATCACCATTCGAACTATGTCCAAAATATGCCATTTATTTATGTATATTGTTGTGGGAATGGAAAGATAAATGAAAGAAGGCGGATATATCCATTTAACATACAGTATCTATGTTTATTATAAAAAATGTCTGCGTGTCAAAATGAAAGACAACCCACACACCTATATCAATCATCAAACCGTGGGGTCTTAATTCATTACGTGTTGATTTCTATCAACGGGGGAGTACTTCAGGAAAGTCGACAGAGGGGGAGGGGCGGCTAGTGGAGTACTTCGTGACCACAGTTTGTGTGAACGTTGTGATCAGCTGTTTTAGCGCAGTTCTCCAGTGAAGGGGGGGGGGGTTAGTCTCCCTCCGCAGCCGGTTGGCGTAGTTTTGGCACAATTCCGTTGTACAGACCGACGTTAACAGCAGCACTGTCTGTGCACACGGAGACCGACTCTGTCGTCCGGTGATCTAACCGCCTTCTGGAAAAGCTTCACAAGTACGTCGGTACGCAAATGCGCTTTGTGACACAAGTGACGGTACGCATTTCAGATTACGCACATAACCTGCGTACCAGTTATGTGCACCCCTGTAGGCCTACTACAGCAAAAGTATTCTCCGTCGGGACTTCCTGCAACAACACCACGCCGTTATCAAAGATGTTCTATTGAGAAGACGATCACTACGTGACAAAAGTTTTCAAAACCGTGGCTACTGAAATCAATCTTACTAACTGCTGTCTGTGCAATTTACTCCGCGCGAGTTGGCAGACTTTATTTTGCTTACTTTAACATCATTTTTCACGGTGGGGCTAAGCCATTTATTGGTATGGGTGTAGCCTACCCCAGCCATACCCTGGCGCTGCCACTGGTGGCACGTATGGGGCGGGCCATTCTGCACATGCGTTAAATGCGTTAAATATTTTAACGCAATTAATTAAAAAAATGTATTACCGCCGTTAACGCGATAATTTTGACAGCACTAGTTTAAACCTGGCTGCCTTTTAATTAAAGACTAGAACGTATGCATGCCATCTTGTTTTTCTTTACATTTTTAAACACTTCAACAATATTTTCTGCAGCTCTTAATTACAACTTCAGATAAACATGTATTAGCCATTACGAAGGGTTTAAGTAGCATTACCAGAATCTGTGAAGTCACATTCTTTTTTAACTTCAAATGAAACATACAGAGGCCAAAGCAATTAAGTAACGAAAAATGCAGTTAAATCCCTAGCATTGCAATCTTTGAACAAGGTTGGCCTTTTGTGTCAGTTCAATAATTTCAACCAGATACGAGTTCATGTAGAGACTGAGCTGGAGGGTGTGGACAAGATGTCAGTATCATCTAATTGAGCAGACGCTGCTTCTTCACAGACGGTAAAGTTGTATTCTTGGACACCATCATCAGGTATTGGGATGACCTTGATAGTTGTCAAATCTTCAAGGTCAGCCGTGGATGTCAGGTTGACTAGTGCATCTCCAATGTCTCTGTCTTGATATTGTATTCTAAAACGTCCACCTATAGAGTGCCACAGTGACACGTCCTAAAACCCGGAAGTAAGTCATCATTTTACCACTTCCGGTTCCTTCGACAAAAAAGCAATGCAATTTCTCCATAGGATTTTGGAAAATAGCTCGAAATAAGGTCTGTGGTTGAGACACTTTTTGTTATATTCAATGTAATGCTCTTAACATCCCGATAGCATTGAATATATTAAGTGCTTTGACAAAAAATCCATTAAAAAAATTCTGTGGAAGCCGTAGTACTGTAAAAAGCACGACCAATCATCTGAGCCGGCCCGGCTAAAACAACTAGATGGCCTACCTGCCTGTCAGCCTTCCATCTGTGCACAAACTTATCTCGTGCCCTCATTGGTCATGTGTGCATTCGTGTGTGTTGGAGGAGGGGCTCTGTAAGGAAGTGGCAGATTTTCTCCAGCTGTGTATTTTCAAATTGTAGCACTTGAGCTGGTTTCTCCAAAATTACCTACCCCACCTTTAATCTAAACCTAATTTTATCATTAATCTAAAATAATGATGTCTTTAATTTAACCTTATTGTATCCTTAATTTTAACCTAATTGTATCCTTAATTAAAACCAAATGTTATCCTTAATTCTCACATAATCTTATCCTTAATTAAAAAATATTTTCATCTTTAATTGTACCCTAATTTGACCCTTAATTTTTTACAAGTTTTAACACAGATTCATTCAGAACCCTGCAGAGTAGGAGGAAGGTTTATGGTGTATAGGTAATATAGTGGTTTAAGCTATGTAATTCATCTGTCAAACTCAAGGTGGTGCTAGAGTAAGAGGATCAACAGAAGGTTAGCAAGATTTGTACTGTGGGAACATACCAAACTCAAATGGAAGCTGTCCAATAGCTCTTCAGATATTTCAGTATACCCAGAAAGTGGACCGACGGTAAGGCATACATTGAAGATTTCCCCTCACAAGACAGGAAACAGACCCTCGTTGGCATGACTGGATACAGTTTTGAACTGAACCTGAGCGTCCAACAGTATATATGTTCGGCTGGCAGACGGTGCGGCCATAACTCTGGGCGTGGCTACTGGGTATCTCTACGTAGCGATACCCAGGAAGAAAACATTGGAAAATGAGAAATCTCCAATGAGGCGTTTTGGGGAGGTCTTTTCTGTGTTAGAGTTTTACTCCGGGTGTACTTTGAGGGTTTTTGACTCTGCATACCGTTTACATGGATAAAAACCTTCATAATACACAAGGGGACGGGTAATAACCGGAAAAGCATGACATGGGACCTTTAATACTCTGCTGTCTCCAGCAAATGTAATTTTACAGATTCAAAAGGGAACAAGATGGGTGCCGCACCCATCTTAATCATTTTGCTGATGTGTTTGGGTAAGTTAGTAATGAGAGTAACACATAGTAGAAAGACAGTGATTAATGCAAGTTTGTTTATTTCAAACCAACTAAAATATTTTCTACAAAAAGGTGCCATTGAGTTTGCTGGTGCATCAACAACAACTGATGGATCATTTACAATAGAGGCTCCATTAACACTGCATACATCATCAAAAACTGTTGCCTCACCAACAACAGGCAGTTCAATGTCTACGGGAGATTCAGCAACTGTCAGTGGGTCAACAATGACTGAGGAATCAATAACAACAACAGCACCATCAACACTGCATGGATCATCAGAAACTGGTGACTCATCAGAGGGTCAACAACTCCTGGAGGTTCAGCAACAACAGGCAATTCAACAACATCTGGAGGTTCAGCAACAACAGGCAATTCAACAACGTCTGGAGGTTCAGCAACAACAGGCAATTCAACAACTCCTGGAGGTTCAGCAACATTAGGCAATTCAAAAACTACTGGAGGTTCAGCAACAACAGGCGGTTCAACTATTACTGGACCAATGACAACTGGATTTACCCCAGCTTCCTCACCAGTTGTGATTCTCACAGCAACCTTGAATGTAACATTTGAACCAGAACACAGAAATCAGAGCAGTGATCAATACAGAGAACTTGAAGCAAAAGTGGTAACAATGGTGAGCACATTTAATGATGTCTTGAGAAACTCTTCCATTCTGTTTGATTTCTTTTACAACCCATTCAATTTTTTTACGGTGTTTCATGTTTCAAATTGTTGTATCCTGCTTACAGTGCGACCTAATCTTCAGAGAGAGATTCTGGCTCATTTTCATCCGCACCTTTGTCATCGAGTTTCGGTAAGCTTTCAAACCTTGACTTCAATAGAACTCACTCATCAGTAGAAAAATGTGACTGTGACGTATAGTCCAACAATCTGTCAAAGCAGTGTAATCTAAGGCTATAAATTGCAATAAGGCAATATTGAAAATGTGCTTTTTTCTTATAAAATTATCGTTTGACTGACGTTTGTTCTTTTTCCATGAAAGGCAAATAGGGGGAAATGTGGAGATAGAGGTGGGGCTCGAGTTCAGCACAACAACTGATCAAATCCCAACAGCCGATGTGGTTGTCGATACTATAACAGAAGCCTTGAGTAACCCAAACAAAACCGTCAACCTGACTCTTGATCCAAACTCCATCACAGTTATTCGTGAGTGAACATTGAATATATGATCCTATATTAACCTACAGTAAGTGCTGGAAAGTCCATCAGCTCACATGTGCTTTTTTCGTCAATCACTCATTTACAGCTCCAGTAGTACCAACAATAACTACCGGGCCAATGACAACTGGCTTTACTCTAACTTCCTCACCAGTTGTGGTTCTCACAGCAACCTTGGAAAGACCATTTGTAAAAGAGCTCAACAATCGCAGCAGTGAACAGTACAGAGAACTTGAAAGACAAGTGGTGACAACGGTGAGCAAACTTGGGTCATTCACATCATTTGATGCTGTCTTTAGTAACTCTTCCATTCTGTTTGATTTCTTTTAACACCCATTCAATTTTTTACGGTGTTTCATGTTTCAAATTGTTGTATCCTGCTTACAGTGCGACCTAATCTTCAGAGAGAGATTCTGGCTCATTTTCATCCGCACCTTTGTCATCGAGTTTCGGTAAGCTTTCAAACCTTGACTTCAATAGAACTCACTCATCAGTAGAAAAATGTGACTGTGACGTATAGTCCAACAATCTGTCAAAGCAGTGTAATCTAAGGCTATAAGTTGCAATAAGGCAATATTGAAAATGTGCTTTTTTCTTATACAATTATCATTTGACTGAAGTTTGTTCTTTTTCCATGAAAGGCAAAAAGGGGGAAATGTGGAGATAGAGGTGGGCCTCGAGTTCAACACAACAACTGATCAAATCCCAACAGCTGATGTGGTTGTCGATACTATAACAGAAGCCTTGAATAACCCAAACAACACCGTCAACCTGACTCTTGATCCAAACTCCATCACAGTTATTCGTGAGTGAACATTGAATACATGAACCGATATTTCCTTCCAGTCAATATTATTAAAACTGTTGTTATAAAAAAATTAATTATTCCTAACACCTCTAGGTTCAACAACGAGTGGAAGTTCAACAACCACCCCAGGGCTTTTTACAACTGAAACATCAAAGACCTCCCGTGGGGCAACACGTATACATGACTTCACTACAACTGTTGATTTAACTGTTTCCAGTGGGTCAACCAGTTCCAGTGGATCAACAACAACTGATGGGTCAACTTTAACCAGTAGATCAACCAGTTCCAGTGGATCAACAACAACTGATGGGTCAACTTTAACCAGTAGATCACCCAGTTCCAGTGGATCAACAATGACTGATGGGTCAACTTTAACCAGTAGATCACCCAGTTCCAGTGGATCAACACAACAACTGATGGGTCAACTTTAACCAGTAGATCACCCAGTTCCAGTGGATCAACACAACAACTGATGGGTAAACTTTAACCAGTAGATCACCCAGTTCCAGTGGATCAACAACAACTGATGGGTCAACTTTAACCAGTAGATCACCAATTTCCATTGGATCAACAACAACTGGTGGCTCAACCAGCAAACCTCAAGCAACAACTAGTCCTGGTGATGCAGTTACTACAGCAGCCCCAAGAGTTTTGGTTGTCACAGCAACCTTGGTAGAACCATTTGTGGAAGAATTTAATAATCCAAACAGTGCACAATACAAAACACTGGAGACACGGGTTGTAACAGTGGTGAGCACACTTTTTTATAAAATCTGAAGTTATCTTTTCATACTATTAGGTTTGGAAAAATCTTTCAGTATACTAATTTATTTTTTCTATTGTATTTCTCCTTCACAGTGTGATTTCATCTACAGGACTACATTTGGATCTCTTTTCATCCGCACATATATCATACGATTCAGGTACGTTTTCAAAACCTAAAGGCATTGTTCAGAATACATTTAATCTTTAATCAAGACTACATTGTGGGTTTCAATGTGTATGACAAAACACATTTAAACAATTATTAGATTAATCATGTGTTAAGTATGTATGTTTTTATGCAGCCGTGTTGTGGCAAGGACACGTATGGAGAATGTTCAAGCAGAGGTGGGACTAGAATTCAACAATACAGTTTCATCAGACCAAATCCCAAAGGATGATCTTATTATAAAAACCTTAGTACAAGCTGTGAATACACCAAACACCTTCAACCTTACGATTGATGCAAACTCCATTCAAATTCAAAGTAAGTAAACAATTGTTTATATGTTGATTGATTCTTTATCTATAAAACATGCATTGAACAGTACTGTTTGGCATAATTACAATTATTTCAAGGTCTGTATTTCCCAATTACAATAGCCCTTTATGCATTGAAGAAACACGATTGCTTTGACCCAAATTAGTGGTGGTTATACACATTTTGAGCTAAAACTTATTTAAGTGTTATAACTGTGTTATAGAATCTCCAAATGCAACAACATCTTCACCAACTAAAGCTCCTGCAACTCCAGTTACAACGGCTAAGATTCCTGCAACGACGGCTTCTGTAACAGGCGTCGGTACAACTGCTGAACAACTCACCATACGGAGGCTGACCTTCAGATCTGCTGGAGAGACATTTATGAATGACTTGCTGAATCCATCTTCATCAGCATTTCAAATTAGAGCTACATTGATAAGCTACATTTTTTAATAATGATATATGCATTAACAAACATATACATTGTTTTGACTAATAAGAATGAGGTCATTAGCCATAACAAAATGGATTGAAAATACTTTTACAAGATGGTGTTTCTTGTTCGTTGTTTCACTGTGGTTTTAGAAACAAGAACATTTCAGGTATTATTAAAAAAGGAACACTTTGTGACAACATCAGGAAGCTATGTTATTTTTGTTGTTGCTTGGTGGATAAGCATGCTTATAACAATTGCAGTTGTTGGACAGACAAAAAAGCAAAAGGTAGCATGAACATGGATTTGCTTTTACATGTTTGACATCAGTTTCGGTAACCTAGAGCAACATCCACTGCAGGACCTTCCTTGAATTAACAAAAAGAGAATACATGTCTAAAGAACAGTTTCCAGTCAACTGAACAGCTCTCTAAAAACAAGGTCCCACTCCCTGTTGCAATCCATCAAAAAACATGCCTCTAAATGTTCTCCTAAATTAGAAATAACTGAAGAAACCAACTGTCCATATACGTATATTATGCTGGGCATAGATGTGTTAGCATAGATGTGTTAGTCAAGAAAAAATGTACTTATGTAAAAAACGGCAGTGCTGAAGTGAGGAAGAGCACAGCATCAATGTACTCACTGTTTGCCTGCTTGTGTTTCTGCAGCTCGAACCCACCTACCAAAAAGCATTTTCCTCTTTCCGCTTATTGAAGGTGGTTATGTTCAGGTAATGTGTTAATGTTACGTTGATATACTGTAATTTAAGGATTTTCTACTTCATGAAAATCATTATCAGTTATAATTGGAATCATTTCAACTTATTTAAAATTATGCAAGAGTATCATTTTTTTTACATTTAGTCTCTAATTCCCTTTTCAGCAATGGATCTATCTACAACACTATGGATCTTCAATTTGCACCTTCATCGGTTCCCAATGGCACTCAGATTGCAGATGTGTTGGTTGGTGCAGCTTCAAGCATCACAGCCTTCAACATCGAAACTGCCTCCATTTCTGTGAACGGCATACGTAAGTTATCTCAAATTATTTCTCATAAAAAAACACAACATAAAAGACATGTTTTTAAAGTAATGTCTTCTTTCCTTTGGTCATCATTTACAGAAGTTTCCCATGGAGTAGAACACCGGATCAGTGTCCTCACTGCAACCCTCCTTGTGCTGCTGTCATGGCTCCTGTCAAGCTTACATTAAGACAGGGCTTATATCCCTGTGAAATATCATTAATAAAATATTTCTATCTCTAATGTAAAACATTATAACTTTTTCATCATAAAATAATGAAACATGTGAGGGATTTTAACTGCTGTATGTCTTGGGAGGAACTATCATATATGCATTTAAACTCAATGCTACCTAATTAATGAACAGGTAGGATCAACTTTTTAATGGTAACGGCACACAGACAGAGGAGTACCATTCATGATGTGTCAAAATTAGGTTATTATTGTATGTTACGCCGTACAATTTAGACAAATACCATTTGAACCCTGTTATGTTTTAGAGCCAATACATAATCATTTCAGTATGTGCTCAAATAAAAATAATTTAGTACCCTAAAATAGAATCATATTTACATAAAGTATATATTTTTATTTCGAACAAATTGCATCTATTTGGCGAAAAATGTCCAAAACTATTGTTGGCTTGTGAATTCTTAGAAACAAGCCAGAATTCTTATTATAGAATACATCAACATTATGAAGGAATTGCATCAAACATGATGTCTTTAACAACATTTTAACAGCCGTTTTCTGTAACATTAACTCAGATTTATGTTAAAGGTTGGATACATCATTACTACTGTCAGAAAAAAAGACTTTCCATCACTGTTATTATCTACATGTGTTTTTATTATCATATACAGTATATGTGTTATGAGAGCTTAACATCGTTTTTTTTCATAAACTTTCATTACCTTGTTATTATTTAAACAAAAATTGTATTGTACTTAGCTCAAGTGGGTGAAGGGTGATGAATCAGATATTTTAATATCAGGTATGTGGTTAAAGACATTAAAGATATTGACAAATTATCAAACCATGTCTCATGTTTTTTTCAATTTGATGTAACACCAGCCCATGTGTACTCAATCAATTAACTGATACAACTATTGTGATAATCAGGTGATCATTTGTCTTTATTTAAGCAACATTTTTACTGACACTTTATAGATTTATATATGTATAGATACCCTGTACATTATGTTGTATGTCATCCTTATTGTTGTTCTGTTGTTTTTATGTTACATGTGTAACTAATGTCCTGCAGGTCACCCTTGAAAAAGAGATATTTTGATCTCAAGGGGCTTCACCTGGTTAAATAAAGGCTACAAACAAACATTTAGATATAATAAATTAAATAAAAGTCAGATTAATAAAAAACTCATGATAAAAATATTTAAAAAAAATGATGAGTGTGTAACCCACTCATTAACACATCATGGGTCTTTTGCAAAAAACAGCACACTCCAGCAGAGGGCAGTGTTGGCGCTCCAGAGGGCAATGAGTTAATGAAGCTGTTTCAGCTGGATGGCAGAGAGCTGCAACATAGTTTTGTAAAAAAAAAAGTTGTGTAACTAAAAGTTACCAATCAATTAAAGGTGGGGTATGTAATTTTGGAGAAACCAGCTCGAGTGCGCTAGAATTTGAAAGTAAACAACCGGAAAAAATCTGCCTCTTCCTTCAGACTTCCTTACAGAGCCCCTCCTCCAACACACACAAACAAACGTGCACATGACCAATGAGGGCACGAGATAAGTTTGTGCACAGATGGAAAGCTGACAGGCAGGTAGGCCATCCAGTTACTTTAGCCGGGCCGACTCAGATGATTGGTCGTGCTTTTTACAGTACTACGGCTTCCACAGATGATATTTTTTAAGTGTATTTATTGTCAAAGCATTTAATATATTCATTGCTATCGTGATGTTAAGAGCATTCAATGGAATATATCAAAAAGTGTTTCTGAAATAAATTACAGACCCCACCTTTAACTGATACACAATCAAACATAAATCTGAAAAAAGTGACCCAACCACTTATTCTAAGAAAGTGACGCCACGCCTGGTGGTGCATTTGATTGAGTGAGAGTTGAAGTCGCAAAGTCACCTGGCTCTCTAGGGACATCTGACAAATGGAAATGTATTGTGGGAATTCCCAAAGCAAAAATTGACATCAAGCAGCATAATAAAACTGTTCGCATGTGTTTATTGCTGCAGAAAAGGAGGCTTTGAAATGTTGAACGTTTATGGAGCTTGAGCCTTTTAGAGTGGATGGTAAGGCTTTTACACCATATGGCAAGAACATTTTGTTCTGGTTTTTACAGGAAAGTAATGGTCTAAATGCTGTCAGAAGCTTTAACAACCCAAAGTTGTAATTTAATGGTTTTTTTTTTTTCCAAGTCATGTATACTTTTCGGTGTTCCTATGAGTATTTTCACATGATGATCTAATTGCTGTTTCAAATACTTATTTCTTGATGGTCAAGATAATTGTCTTATAACGTTGTGTAAGCCCATTGTTTAAAATTGCAGGCACAACATAAAAAGGTTAAATTATAACAAATTGACTTATTCTATTAGGATCAGTTGTAAGCGATTATTGAGAATACATTTTGGATTGCTAGATACAAATCTCTGAAGCCATTGTTTATACAAAGACAATGCTAATGTTTCATTCAAACAAGATGGTTGAACTTGAAATACTGACAAAAAAAAAGAGAAAGGCACTGACTCAGGGGTAAAGGGGATTTAAGGAGGCTTCTTGACTTACAACAGGGGAAAGAGGATGAGTGGTGAGAAAAAGATGGATGGTTGAGGCAGAGGGGTGATGGTAGATGGCAGACTAGGGAGGATGGGTGGGCAAGAATTAAAAAGGCATTAGTCGGATGGCATCATATTTTCATTTAATTTGAATCTTCTTCAACAAACAAAACATTACGCTTTATGCAAAAAAAATGCACAATGATTTCGCCAATATGCAAATGAGGATATGATGGTAATGATGGAAGAGTTTTAAATTAGGGATTGCTACTTTCATTGTAAAATAGTTGGCAACACTGCACAGGACACATCACATTTTTCTTTATCAATGGCCTTGTGCCATAAATTGAGCCTTCATTTTCCCAAGAGATTGTACCTAGTGCCAGAAGTCATTGCTTACAGGTTTTCAGCTAACCAATCTTAACGTATATGATGTCAATATCCTAGAAGATGAAGCAAAAAACGTAGCCCTTGTCCCTTTTAATCATTCAATACATCATTTCATTTGTATCGGTTCACTTGGAAATCCACTTCATATGTAAACCAATATATCTGAGTCAGTAGGCTTTACCTGGAATTCAATATATCTATGCAACAAAGTGCTTTTCACCCTTTGAGTTTTATTATGCAGGCCAAAAAGTGAGTATAAAATGCATTCATCAGCTTCGATGGGTATGTTTTGGTGTAATTGTTGTGGGTAGGTACATATACGCATGGAATAATGAACATTACAATACTTATACATTTGTTCAAGCGTGCCGACATTAGTGTTGTTCATGCACTAGTGACACCAAATGACTCCGAGGCGTTTAAAGATCCTCGTTCGTTTTGGCCGAATGTGTACCCAGCAGATAGGGTGAGATATCAACCTTGCCATTGTTAATGTGAAATGACAGGGCATGACTGTTGCAGCACAAGGACTTGTCTGAAGGGGGGAGGGAAGAGGAGCAGCTCCTGTGGGGCCTCTAATGGATGGTCACACCTTTATGACCATGCAAGAGTAGATATTAAATACTTTGGGCGTGAGCGGGGGTGTCTGTGTGTGGTTCAAGTGTGTGTGTGTTTTTGTGTGTTAGTATTTAAAACTGTGGTTAAGGATTCTGAACCAAGGTAATTACCGCCCAGGAGTTCAGTGAGGTCGATCATTGGCTGCCTCATTATTAGAGTGGAACATCCCATTAAACTGTGTACGCCGTGTGGATCAAGGTGTGTGTTTATGCTTCACCATAAAGGGGTTAGATATTTTCATGGCTTTTAAATTGTATTTAAAATGTACTTCACGTAAAGTAAAAGCCTACGTAGAATCATCACTTGACCCTGCAGTTGCGTTTAAAACATCATGTTGGCTTTCAGCTCTTGTTTTTACAACGCTACTGTTTTGGTCTTCTCCAACTGCTTTATGCAAGTGAGATATTATGTGAGAATTATATTTCTAAACTTCTGAGAGAGAGCTACAAAGCAAGGGAAATATTTCAGAGTGCATCTTCACATCGTGACCTCATAGCAAACTCAATTCAGTAAATATTTCATTGGGTTGCTGGTGGCATATTCCTGTTTGTGTGTGATCGCAGATGAAATGTTTGGATGAATAAAGCATATCTTGCAACATCTGAGCATAGGGACAGCTCGGGGGGGGGGCAATCCTTGGACTGTGGGAGTTCAGCTTGTTAGCATGCTGCTGAGTGGCTGCGGAACGTACTTTGTTCATCATGAAATGTTCACGGATAATTGGATGTTATGAAGATTAATGTGCGTTAGTTTTACAGAGCCGCAGGAGAACTGCAAAATACTTTGACTGTGAACAGCTGTCTCTGGCCTCTTTAGTGGTGCCAGTTGTGATTTTATTAGATGATACCATGATGGCTGATAAACTGATTGATCAGCTTATTGACTGATTCCTTTCATTCATTCACTTATATCTTTATGATTTGTACAATGTTCTTACATGTGCCTGGGAGGATCTGCAGTTTAACTTCAATATAATTTGCTCAAAATGATTGCAATTACAGAATTATAGGAGCAATTCTTATTTTAGTTTCACTTTCGTCACTTTTAATTAAAACAATTGGAGTACCTTTAGGTAGTTACCTACCACATACCTATAGTTATCTTACGACATACATTTTTTTCCATCGCAAAATGCAGAAAATAAGCTCATAGGATGATGCATTTGTTTGGCCCATGTGTATGAAAAATAACACTGGTCACAAGAAAAAAAAATGTCCTTGACAAAACACACCACAGCATGCTTTCTCCGGGCATGTTCAAATATTATATTTTCATAGCCGGTATTAATTCTCTGAGTGAGCATGGCTATGTGGACAAATGCAGTTTATACCTTTATTTAATTGCAACCGCAATTGGCATTCATGTCGGGCCTGTCATTTAGGTTAAAACGGATTACATTCAGACTTGCTACAGGCTCCAATTTGCAATACACACACAAAAAGACACACACAGAAACTTCCGCTGTGGTATAAAATATTTAAATGCAAGCTCCAGTTTAGTAGGTGCAATTACAGGCAGTATACTGGCCATAGAGGTCATGAATGGTGCACGCTCTGCCATCATCTGCCTTTTACTTGCACATTTATATATTTTTTTGATTTAAGGCAGAAAATAGACCTGTGTTCAACACCACGAGTTTTTTTGAAGTTCTGCAAGATCAACTAAATAAATAGGCTGTGTTCTGATCTGTGAGTTCTGTAGGCATCACATGTAGGTACAAGTTTCATTTTGATACATTATTGATGTTGGCTGAATTATTCAACATTGCATGTTGCATTACACTTGCATTATTTACAGTATTGTCTGTTAAATCATTTTCTGAAATGACTAAATAAGCAAAGAAAAACTAATAATAAGAAATAGTTTGAAATCTTAATATCCTTGATTTTGGTCCACTTCCTTGCTCCCCTAAAGCTGTAGTTCTTTGATTTTGTCTGCTGGGCTTACAGTACAATATTGCTGGGGTTGACCCCTTCTGCCCCAAGCAAACTGCTCATGTT